TCGGGGTTGGGTTTTCGTCCCTTGGCAACGACGTTGTAAAACAAGCCAATTCACTTCGTGAGCTCGACAACCAGGTTACCGGGTTTTTGTTACCTCGTTTTGTTTGGCGGTAACCATAATGGTGGTCGAGTAGATCATGTTGTGCAGGGGCGAGAACCCTCACTTCGCGCAAGGGGGATGATCGCACCACGTTGTGTTAAAATGGTCAAGCACCCTCGAGGCAGTTACACAGTGCTTACAACTGTCTCTGGAAGTGAAAGCACCAGAAAATAAATTAATTCATACGCAGCTGTCATCCGTACGCAAGGAAGTAAGCACAAGATGCCGAACACCCTTAGCAGGATGCAGCGCACCCTTCATGCGACTCGCCGAATATCTCACGGCGCTTCGCGCTTGGTGATGTGAGAGCCTGGTCCGGTGAGAACCCGGCGTGCTCCGTCCCGGCTTTGTAGGGATGCGAGGTCAATGGTCTAACGACACGGCATGCACGACCATGAGAACTCCCCCCCTCCACCGATGACCCAGTACCGGAACAACGTGACAGTCTATTATAAGACATACTACGATGCCTGACCCATCTACTGAGGGGCAAAACGCACACGGCCGACCACAGAAACACTAGCGTCTCCACGACATTTGGGGCCATCATTGGCACCCGTATTTCTGGCTCAATATCCACCATCACCTCACGCTTCACCTCCAACTGCACAAACACACAAAGCGGTGGCGTCTTTATCATCCCCCGAGACCATACAGTATTATGCTGTGAACACAAGCTCAGAAAATGTATACCAAGTACTACGCTCGCGAACGAAGTAGGGCATCGACGGCGAATTCTGTTGTACCATGCTCACATGGTTGTTCCGGATGACGCCAAACCACAACTATGGATGAGTTTTAGTGATCGACGGAGCACCACTGCTTGTTTAGATGGAAAAGTGCTCCGTGGCAGACTCACTTGTGCGAGAGTTTCGACCGCTTTTGAGCACCAACGAACAGCAAGCGCACCGGTGGACTGCATGGAATTTAGGGTGAGAGGGAAGCTGCTCGAACCTGTAATAAGCATACTGGAATTCATACTTCGTGTAGAGGAAATTGCTTCTCGCTGCTGCTCACGACCAAGACATCAAAGTTCGACAAACGCTTGCTGACTTGAAATTTGATATGCTACCCAAACAATGGCGTGTCGACGAGCACACCCCCTGGCAAATCACCGCACGGTGACTTATACACGCGTTGTACTGCTGTAGACAGCTGAGTACCTCGAGCGAGTTGCCCCTACACCAGACAAGCCCGAGGGGGTTGGGGGGCGATCGCGGAAACATCAATGTGGTTTATGGGCAATCAAAGGTGACACAAGACACTACCGAACAACCTTTCCATTACATCTACTAGCTTCCATCAAGACTTGGTACGGTGTGTAGACGGAAATGTCTGTTCCTCTTCCCGCGGTACAAAGCGATGGCCCCAGCTCTGCGTACGCACAATGCACACAATTCATCAACACCGGGGCCTCACCCTTGGAGTAGACGGGCGACTGGCCCGTGAGTTGCTCCAACACCTTTGCTGCGCGGGTCAGCCTGTCACCCGACTCTCCGACGGAGCAGTTAAGCACCAGCTTGTCGACCTTCAGGTCCCTCATCGGGTTGGTCTTGATCTCCGCCTGTAGAGAGCATGGAGAGAAGCCGCAGTAGCGGCAGACGGGGGAGGTCAGAGATATCGAAGATTGGAACGCCAGGTTGTACAATCACGAGTAGAGTTCCTGGACGGCATGAGGTAGCTCTTCAGCGTAGATTGAATGATTGCCTAGCTCTATGATAGGGTTCGTATAAATACACTAACCCCACCAAACTGCCAGTTAGTGCACGTGTGCGATGTGTTGCAATAATTTCTTCAGCAAGAGACAAGGTTGGGAGAGCTGTAGAGGCAGCAAGAGGCAACAAGCAACCAGATCGTTGGACTGGGGCAACCGCCTGGGGCGTGAGTCGCTCGTAGATACCATGACTTTTCACAATCGAAGAGAGATGAACCTCGAGCTTTTGCACGGAGGCAAAAAACGTACGTCTCGAACACGTCCCTGCCATTGGCACTCCTGCTGTAGGCTTGCGTCTTGGGCAGTTCACGGCGAGCCGTCGCGGGACTGGAACACTCACACGGTTGTGAATTGGCTCACCTGCTTCGAACTCACGTTTCACAAAACATTTACCAGATCGAGTGGGACTCATGGATGCTGAAATACAAAACTGCTGTGCTTCTCCCCTGCACTGCGCACTCACCATCACGCCCAGGATCTGTGAAACTTGGTGTGGCACCGCTCGGCCACACACGGAGAGGGGGGTCGGGTGTTGGTATGTTTGTCCTGTGTCATACGCTGTGCGTGTCAGATACGTTCTGCGGAGCACCCTTGCTGATGCCAATGATGCACTGCTCTGCAACGCACACATGGGAAGCCAACACCACACAAGCGGGCAGAGACATCATGTCCAAGATAACGGTGGTTGCTGCCGTTGTTGTAGGTGAGAATCTGTGGAAGTCCTTCATTTGACTGTTCCAGGAAACATTGGTGTGTACATGGTGGGTACGGACGGCTGTTCATGACTTGCCGCCTCTACGTATGCACACGTCGGTTTATCGACAGATCTGATGATGCTCACACCACGTTCAAAACATTGTGGGACAGCAGGTGCCTGCGCCGCTCTTGCTGCTACGGGATTCCGCGGCCGACAGACTGTGGTCGGCATTGACTTGGGGACGACATTCTCGGTCATTGGCGTCAACGAGGTACAGAAAAGATGACCTACTTCCTGCAGTTTATGCAGCTCTTACCTCTGAAGAACAGGGACTCACAACAAACGGCGTAGGTATGCCCGCCAGCATACACCCGGACAGACAGATGGCTCGACAAGAATGAACACGTTTGACAGAGGAATCGATCGTGGTTCTGCATACTAGCGTTCGCCCTCACAAAGAGAGTAACCAACTCACGAGATATTTAGCGGTAAGGGCGCTTTCACCATCCGTGTCGGGGTTTGTTTCGTGACTCCTCAGTGCTGTACGGCAGAACGTTTCGTCGGTACACGTGTACACGGCTGTAGTATCAGACCAGCAGACCTTGTTGCTGAGTTGGGCCTCGCTACGCGACAACACTAGCACAAGCACTATGGCTTGCGAGGAGCATACAAAAGTGGTCATCTGTCAATACTCACTCGACGTTCGACAGTGAGCTTAGTGAAAGCGACACAAGCAGCGTACTTCATATCGATGCGCCATTGTCTCAATCCCTCCGCACGAAATTGGAGATTTGTTTTTTTTTTTGTTTTGTTTGTCTCCCATCATTGGACTCTGTCGTCTGCTCCTCTGGCCCCTATCCTCCACTTCTACTAGCTAGACGACCCAACCGGGGTCACATAGGAGGGGGGGGTTGGACCCCCTCCTGCGGTTCATGCCTGAGGTATTTTTATCGCGAGAAGGGTACAGCAATCCCTTCCCTCGCGACTTACGAAGTCGATTATGGTTTACTAACAAACGAGCTTTGCAGCGCGTCGCTTTCATCCTAGACCAGGATTTATTTAGTGAGAAAAAGACTCTCTCTACCGGGACTCGAACCCATGACCTGGCCCTTAGCAGGCTGCGAGGCTACCCACTAGACCACCGGGGCGACCGGGGTCGTACTTGTACGATTGTTCGGGACACGTGGTGCAGTCCGAGCCTCGTAAGAGAGCATATGGCGAGCCTCCACTACCATTCATCTCGCACTCCTAGTGCGGGTTGTGCTTTGTTGAATTGAACAAGCATTACGCAGGGGCCCTTCTTCTTGTGCAGATTGGCCTGAGCAGTGAAATCTCAAATCTGGACGCCCTGCAGGGAAACCATCCGTGCCATGGTCATTCCAGGGGAACGCAGCGCGGTCTTTTGATTCCCCACATCATTTTAGTGCGGCCGCCTCATTTTTCGCAGGGTGGGAAAATCACCATCATTCCTGGAGCAGAAGGAAGCCCCCTCCTCCCATCGGTGGTGTCATTTTTGGATAACGGGCGTGTAGCTGTCGGCCAAAATGCGACAAAGCTTCTCGAGAGCCAACCGGCGAACACCATCTACGGCGCGAAAAGATTTATTGGGCGAGCGTGAGTTTATTAGTGTTGGTCATGTATGGACGCGTGGAAACTTTTATTGCGGTACAATCCGTCGGTTGGAGTTTAGTTTTGTACGCATGTATTGGTCCGATCTTACCCCAAACCCTGTTGCCAAGCGCTCGCTCACCTCTACATCCCTGTTTGTTATTCCTTGATCTGCATTCGCTGCAGATTCTCTGATAGCGCCGTCTCTGAGGAGGCAGCAGAGCACCAGTTCCAGCTGGTACAGTCGAAAGAAGATCTTTCCGAAGCGTGGTTCAAGATCAAGTGAGGAAGGATATGTGATTGGTTGTGTACCACAGTCTGCGTGGCTGGGCGCTGCGGTTATTCTCAAGGTGGTGCTCCGTAGGTAGCAATATAGGTCCACTGCCAAGATACCTTCTACTCTTGATCGCGCTTCGGGAGTCCGCTCTCTCGCTGCCGGTCGCCAAAAACAGTGTTCTTGTAGGGATTTCTGTTGAAAATGATAATGCTGAATGCCTGGCCTATGCAGTTCTACTCAGGAATTCTGAGGAGCTGAACGTAGTCCGGATGACACCTCGCCCTCGAAGTTTATCTTGTGTGGCGCGCGCATTTCCCTCTTGACCTTTGCATTTGCAGGCGCTCCGGGCATCCTCCGTCTGTGTCCCCGCAGATGGTAGGGTCCCATGTACTTGGTGAGCTACTCCAAAGGGCCGCAGTCTATTTAGGCCACTCGCAAGTGAGCAAAGCGGTTATTGCTGTCCCAGCGAAGTTCGATGCAAGGCAGAAGGCGGCCACAGTGGAGGCGTTTCGCCTAGCAGGCCTTAAGGTTTGTCGACTTTCGCGTGCTTTCACGAACAAACTAGACAGGTGCGAGAATCATACTGAGACGATGCACGCATCTGACCGCGTTTTCAAGTACGGATGACCAACTCCGCCGTCCGCGAACAATGTTTAAGCCTGGCCACCTTACCCGAGCATAATGGTCGATCTCGCCTGTCTTGAGCAGGTCATCCGAATGCTCGAAGAGCCAACAGCGGCAGCACTGGCGTTTGGCCTCCATCGCAAGCCGAATGTGAACCACATCCTCGTGTACGACTTGGGTGGTGGCACGCTAGACGTTTCGGTTCTGTTTGTGAACGACGGTTCTGTGGAGGTCCTCGGCAGCGATGGAGACGACAACCTCGGTGGTAAGGCTTTGGCATTTTCCAGATTGTTTGTCGCAAAGCTTGTATGTTTGTCGGCAACAGGGTGGTCAACTTGTGTCCAGAGCTACTGCGGGCCCGTCTACTGTAGATTTACTTTTTGTGTTTATTCGCAGAATAACAGTTCCTGGGTTAGGCCTCCCACCTTTGCTCTCACCGCACGTCATTTAAGCGCTCGTCGACATGAATCCGTTCATTGGTGCTTCTTCATTTTGTTTACAGTGTTGTGCCCTTCCGTAATGCGCCGCTCGTCCTACGACGGCCTGGTTCCATTTTGGATCGGTCTCGATCAGGATCCGACTTCGATCAATGTGTGGCCCATTTGCTGGAGCGCAAGCTTGACCGGAGCATTGTTGCGCTGGAGGAGGCCGAGGAAGCCGTTTCGTGCGCCTTCAGGACGCCGACATGCGCACTGCATAACCTTTACCCACTCAGCGAAGGATTGCGACGTCTTCTGACAGACGGGGAGACCGCCGCAGTGGAGTGCATGATCCTTCCGGAGGAAGCCCAGCGACGAAACTTGCGGTCTCCAAAGAAGGGAATGCCCAGCGAGGATGGAGACAGTCAAGACGCGCATAGATTCGCGGGGGCTGAAGGAGAACGTTGCAAGATGTGGGAGCCGCTTAGTTTAGAACTCACCAGGACAGATTACGAGCAATCTTGCGCTTCGTTGTTTGATCGCGGTGTAGCCCCGGTAGATCGTCTGCTTCATCACTTGGATTTAACAGTAGACGAGATTGACGAAGTTGTCATGGTAGGAGGAATGACACGAACACCACGAGTGCGGAGTTTGCTGGAGTCGCACCTTGGTGTGGACAGGTTAAACGTTGATATTGATCCGGACGTCGTGGTTGCGTATGGCGCGGCGACTATCGCACACTGAACGCTTGGATATGCTGGAGGAGAGATAGTTGGTACAGCAGTGTGCTTGCCCTGGCGATAGCCTGCTGCGGCAATCGGATGATGGGGCGTTTGATCGTGACGTGCAGGGCGTGTATATAATATATCTTTAGTACCCCCATGAAGGACTGCATCATGATATTTTGTCATAATCCTACACCCGTCGGAGAACGGGCACCCTGGGCCAGACGTTGGGTTTCCAATCAAGATAGAGAGATGGAGCAGAGAGGGTATAGACAAAATGTCAAGCCACTCGCCTAGTAAATAGTCAACGCCTACACGAAACTGAGCTCGGTACCTGCTGCACTTATGTCCCAACGCAAGACAGTCCCTTCGATTCTTCGACATGCGACCAAACTACAGCGGGACTACTTGGTGAGTCCCTTCCGTACACGACATCGAGTTAGCCGTCGCGAGGGAAGGGATTGCTGTACCCTTCTCGCGATAAAAATATCTCAGGCAGGAACTGCAGGAGGGGGTCCAGCGCCCCCCTCCTGTGACCCCGGTTGGGTCGTCTAGCTGGTAGATGTGGAGGATGTGGGCCAGAGGGGCAGACGACAGAGTCCAATGTTGGGTGAAAACAAAAAATGTTCAGTTGCAAATGGTTAGCAGGTGCCGGACATATCAACCGTATCTTCTGCTATTTAACGCTGTTTCCCTTGTCGTCCACAGCATAGTCTAGACTACACGATCAGCTGTACCCACGCATTCATTCCAAGTATCGATAGAGGCTGCCCCTAGTTGGCACTTAGTCCAATTCCTCGAAATTCGTCGCTTGTTCCTGACAGAGTTCAGCAACATGCTCCTTTGAAGTCACTTCCACATTTCCGTTACACCCAACCTCGACAACCTCTTGTTTTTTAACCGTGGCTGGAGGTGGCGGTGGGGTGTTCTGCAGTATTCGTTCTTCCCTACGGCGTTGGCTTTCTGCTTCAAATGCATGAATTTCTTCATCCACGTCGTTCGAAAGCTTTTTGAGGTCGAAGACGTCGTCGTCCAGGGGCTCCACGTGGTCAAGGCCGGGCGATCGTCGAATTCCAGAGCTCTGCGAAAGTATCAGTCGATGTGTCATTGCAGTACATGCATGCATACTGTAGCACAATCATAACTACTTTATTTAGGGGGCGCCTTCAGTTGGCAAACATCCTATGCCCCTCCTTCCCCATGGGATCACCTCTATGGGGCTATCTCTCAAGGGTGTTCCACGAAGTAAGGGCGGAACAGCGTTGACACCCCAACTACGCGTGCGCACCTCTGGGGACTCGGTGGCATCCGACGAGGGTGCTCGATGTGTTGAGGTAGATGGGGCCAGAATCCTAGCTGCACGACTCTTTCGAGCGTTTCTCACAGTTTCACAGTCGCTGAACGGGATGATGGCCTCGCCTGAAAACTCGTTGACAAGACGGGGAACTCGCGTGTTGCGTTCCTCCATAGTGTTGGACACCATGCTCTTTTGCTGACCGCGTGGGTGCATCTGAAAGCAAGAGGGGAAACAGCGACAGCATCGTACAGTGGATATCCCAATCGATGTTGGAACGTCCTCACGTTAGGGCTGTTTGCGTGCTGGTATCCTCTTGATACCGTAGATACATATTCCTCATGGCTTTATTGGCTGGTTTTAATTAAGCCGCAGGTTCATGTAAATCTCCTATGAAGTGATAGAACTCACCTGTACGATTGCCCCTGGTTTGCATTTGTTGAGAAAATTTATTGGTTTTGTCGCGGTGCTGCATGATGTACACTACAAGTCGCCGAGCTGTCGCGGTCGTGCGCGCTACGATGTGTTGTGCGGTCAAATTATCGTCTACGGCACTCGCTCACCGAGCACTACGTTCTTGGTCGCTCAGGTAATTGTTTTTCGTACACAGGGGAGAGATGTCGAATCGAAGTCAGAACTTCCTATAGGCTGCCGGACAAGCTAGCGCTTTATTGCACACATTGCGCCACCACGCCAGCCGCCACCCTTGAGCGCTAAAGTGGTGACAATCACACCTGAGTAGGGGGAGGAGGTGGCAGAGGTAGGATCTCTTGCCGACCGGATGTTCCGTCCCCACCAACAGATGATCCGGTGTTGCTCACTTCGCAGTGCTCGTCGGAAGTATCGCCTAGAGGGGATTCTTGCCCCTCCTGCACAGTAGAAGGAATTGAGACTTTAATACTGTCGTTCACCACCGGTAGCTCAGGCTGACCTGAAGCCTCGCTCGCCTCCGCCTGAGGAGTTCGACACGAAGCAATTATCCCGTCAAGGTATCGATCACGTCGGAGTGCAAATACTACTTATCTCTCCACGACGAGATCGTGGCGTTGAGATCCAATCCTTCCGTTCAATGAATGCTGTGAGTCAAAATTTACAAAGCCTTTGAGGTTCATATTGTGCACAGTGAGACAATTGGGCACTCACATTTTCGCTTGAGCTTTCGTTTTGGGGTTTAGCCTGTTTCCTCGCCTCGAGGCCTTCGCGCATCATCTGGTCCAAACACCGCGCGAGTAACAAGCGTTTTCAGCAAAAAAAGTTGTGAAGCAGCAACAACGGAGCACGGCCACACAGACAGATGAAAAGTGGACGCACTCTCCCTACATTGCTAGCCCTTTCGAAGGATACTTCATGACAAAATGGATCTTCTTGTGGCGTTGGTTCAACGAAAGACTCACCTGTTCGAAAGCTAGATATTGACGCTGTTCCGCAGCTCGTTTGGACTCCCGAATCTTCGCCATTTCTTCCCTTTCCGCTTCTTGTGCCCGCGATATCCCGCCTTCAGTCAAGCCCTTTGACCACGCCGAACATCGGCGGCGCTCGTCGTCGAAGACAGGCCTTCCCCAACCAATACGAACATAAGCGCAAGGACACTGTTGCTTAACAGCTGGGCGAATGATGTTGCATGTTCTCTAGATCCAACGCACTTTGCCAATATGCCGGGTGCACTGAAGGTTCAATCAACGTAGTTCCACCGTGCTGGTGTCTCGCTTAGAAGCTCCCGTCTAATCTGTGAGCGCGCAACACCCTTGAAGTCTTACCACATACTTCGAAGTATATTGTCGCTACATACCTGTCGTCGAGGTACTTCAGGGTGGCACATTTGCTGACCAATGTTTTCCGATAGTGCCGGATGCATTTGACGACAGGATTGCCTTGGAGATACAGTACTCGCAGGTCATGCATAGCTGACACTATATCTACCACGTCCGGGTCGTTGATGCGGTTGTGTTGCACATCCAGGGTCTACGAGACAACAAGCAAAAAGGGCGCGGAACGACATGGAAACAGTCAGCCAGCCATAACACATTCCCCTTGGTGAATCATATGCGAAAGTGTTCCGTGATCGCCACAGAGGAAACTAATATTTCACGACTAAATAGCAGTCTTCACAACTACCCGCTGATGAACCTGTATTGACAGTTAGTGTACTTGCGTGCAACCCGGAAGAATCGTCGAGAGTCGTCGGCTACGATTCTTCTGATTAACTTGACGTCCAGGGACAATATAGGTAAGCAATACTTCTTCAAGTAGCATATAGGCTAGCGTCCAATATCATTGGCAGCTCTCGTAATACGCTGTGCTTCCAGAGTGAGTGCTGAATAGCGGATACGGATTATCCCGTGTCGTCCAACGCAAGGGACAAGTTATCCTGGGTTTCGATTAACAGAACCAGACTTTGAGGTGGATCGTCGCGAAGCTGATTGGTACTCCGTACGTAGCCTGCACATCGTTACCTGTAACGTGGGACATTGTAGAACTTGCCGCAGGTCGTCCGCTGTTTCGAGATGATTGTTTGCCAGCAGCAGAGAGGTTAATCGGCCGAGGTGACTGATGTTCTCCACCCGCCTAACGAAGTTTTTGCTGAGGTTGAGCGTGTCGAGCTGTGGCATCGCAAAAGACGTAAACGGAGAGCCTTGGCCTTCAAGTCGCGAAACCAGATCGAAGGACTGACGTCTTAGCGTGCAACTGTATCAGCAAGCACACATAGACTATTACAATAGACTACGCAGTGTTCGACATCCCCCTTATTGATATTGTGCACGACGGAAAATCCACACGATACAAGGCCACACAAAACAAGCGCACTACTACTGCTTCCACATGCCTCCAGGAACGAGTCCAGCCCTTCGATCTTCTCGATGAGGTTTTCGTGGGCGTAGAGAGTCTTCATTTGCGTCTGTGCTTCCATCCCCTCCAGTTTAGAGAGGCCATTGCCCTCGAGCCAGAGGACGCGCAAGCCTGTGTACTCCTCGAGGTTTTGGATTTGCCGAATGCCCTTTCATTAAAGAAGCAGGAGAACGTTCGTTGTACCTCAGGGCGAAAACACGATAGCGCGGAACCCGCGCCCGTGAAGAGAGACCAAACCAGAGATGTCACATGCTCCCTCATTAGAATTTCTGGTTTCAAAAATCAAGGCTTGTACATACTTTTTATACGAAGTTAACCAATGCGCTGGGGCATGTACATGTACACCTATCAAAGTACTTTTTGCGATGATCCCAACAAAGGTCACATATTCACGTATTGGTATGTATCCCCCGTTGGCAGGTACCTTGTAGTGAAGATACAGCTTGTCGTTGAGAGATGGTGATGAGTACAGCCCACTGTCTCGGCATATTTTCTTGAGCACTGCCTTGGTTAGATCCATGTCCCTGTGCACGTGTGGACCTACGCACGACGTTCATGTGGGTGTAGCTTCCTCGGTATCCGAGATCCGACCGTTATTTCTTCTCGCGTCACCCCTCCCACCCCCCTCCCTTATCCGTCCGCGGGGACTCATGGGGGAGCCAGTGCGAAGCTCACACACCATGGTCATCTGTCCATCGTCACGAACAAGTTTGTGCGCTACATCTTGGGGTTGAGGATTTTGGGTGTGGTGTTGATATGTCGACCCCTCTACCGTCGACGCTGGAAGGTCTTCTGCTCGAGGGTCAGAGGCTATACACGAAGGTTGGTCCAAGTAATAAGAATGTGTGCCTGTCCTTTGTGTGCTCCAATTCTTAAGAATGTGTGCCTGTCCTTGCTGTGCTTAGCAATGGCGGCGGCTCGGGTCCTTCAAGCAGTACCCGCCTGTGTGCTCTAGGATACAGCACAGACACTGGCAGCATCCGTTTACTTCCCTTCTCATTGTTTTGCTGATTTCTCTCCGATGTCGGTCTTGTGTGGTAAGTAGGTGAGCAATGCTGACTTCGATGGCGATGAAGACAGGGACTACACGACAGCCCGGGCTAAGGCTGCTCTCGAATCTCTACAGATGGGCGTAGCACGCGAAGGGGTGAGGTGTTCATTGTGTGGGGTGTATCTCCCCCCTAACGTGTTGCGTATATATGCTGAGAGGACCTACTACTACTGTGTTGTTTGCATCAACACCAACTATGTATTGTATGATGTGCGTAACATTGTAGTCAGTTTGCTGCTCTGCTGCTGGCTGGCAGCTCCTTCAAAATTCAAAATGGTGTGTTACACTGCCTGTACGCATCTGCACTCGAACTACAAGCACTGCTGCATGCATAGACTACTGCCGTACGTAAACATCTCCAAAAATAGCATAAAGCAGTAGTATGTTTTCGTACCCCTCTGGCACCAGTCGACACACATTTCGGTCTTCGGTGTGCGTTCCTGAAATATCTGCCGGGGGGTACCACAGGAAGGTCGTACTTGTACAAGAATGCTTTTTTGTTCTGGTTTGATGCTGCTGTTTTTCAGTTCACATTCAGTAAGCGTTGTGGGTTTTGCCGTCCCTTACCCTCGTCGACCGTGAAGACCTACCCTCGTCGACCGTGAAGACCTACCCTCGTCGACCGTGAAGACCTTCACTGAAGTGTGTGAATGTG